CACCTTCCTTGCCAAGTGCCATAACGCGCTCCCCACGCCCGTTCGCAGCCCCCACAATGTGACGTGCCCCCACGATGCAACGTGCCAGGAAACCTTCTCGTCCCCAGTCCCTGATGAGGGGCCTGTGACTCAGGGAGACTGAGCACCATCCCAGGGACCCCCAGCAGTGTCCAAAGGCACCTGCAGACCCAGCGTTCACTGTGTTCGGGCCATCCCCAGGCATTTACTGAAGCCTTACCATGTCCAGAACCTGTTTAGGGGTGAGGCTCCAGGAGAATGGGAGCCCAGGTCTCCAAGGGGAGAATGGCATCGACAACCTCAGGTTGTGTGTCATAAACACTGAGGAACTCAGCAGGGCAGGAGCTGGAGAATAAGGGCAGGGGGGTCAACGTCAGGGGAGAGCAGGTGCAAAGGCCCTGTGGTGAACTCAAGTCTGTGTGCTTGAGGAACAACAGGAAAGCCACCAAGGCCTGCAGAGTGTGCCAGGGGAGTGTGGCAAGAGATGAGGGGAGGCAGAGGCAGGGGCCAGACCGTGAAGGGCCTTCTGGCAGGGAAGCAGTTCCCTTGGGCTGACGCGGTGTTGTTTGGGACCCTGTGCTGGTGGGTCAGAGCACCATGGGTCCTCAGACCACAGCGCTGGCTAAGGCCCCCACGGGCAGAAGGGCAAGCCCAGACCCAGAACGTGGGTTCTGTGGGAAGGCAATGCTGTGCTGTGTGGCCTCTGTGGCCACGCCCCTCACGATCCACCTGCGGCCCAGAGCTGCTCGGGACGGACGCCGACTGGTCGAGGACTTTCCCTCCCAAGCTGTCCAGCACCTCGTCCGTGGTGGGTGCCCCTGGTGGGCCTTAACAGGGGGCGTTAGGATCTCCACCCTGCCGCCCCCTCCCAGTGCCTCTTCCAGATCCCGTCCTCCCTGGTTTTTGGTCTTCCTCCCCTCGGGCGCCCTCCAGAGCATCCAGCCGTTCTAGCCGTGATTCCGCACAGGCTCCAATGTCAGCGTTCGTCCCTTCCCCACAGAGCAGAGAGGCAGGGGCTCCCTCTGTGGGGGAGGCTGTTCCCCCTCGGGCCTCATGTACCCCCAGGCATGTTGGGGCTGGCCACCTGGTCACGTGGTGTCCACCAGGGCTTCCAAAGCATGGAGAGCCCCCTCCTCAGGTGGCCCAGCCTTGCTCCAGAACAGTGGGGTCCGCATAGTGATTTTCCTCTTCAGGTTTATACCCTCCTCACCCAGACGTCCAACCCCCTGTGTTTGGCCAGGTCGTATGGTCCACACAGCAGGCTGCCTGCACCCCAGAGGCCCCCAAATCAAGTGAGGGGCTGGGCCTTTACGTTCCATTGGTCAGTCCATCATGGGATGGGGCTGGGGTGGGCAGCTCCCCTGCGGAGGGCCGGTTCCTGGGAGAGTCTCAGCTGAGAGCCATCTGGAGGCAGAGTGGCTGAAACACCGAGGGGGTGAGTCCCCAGAGGGGAACCAGGCAGGGAGAAGAGCAGGCAGGCCTGGGGACTGTCCACCCTGGGGTCACCTTGATAGCTAGCAAGCTTCTGCTGCCATTGGAGAACCAGAGCTCATGCCCTCCCCACCTCAGGACCTTCCTCTCTGCCCCACCGTCCAATCCCAGCACCCCAAACTTTCCTCAGCACCTCAGTCCCTGCCCCCGCCCCACTGTGGGGCAGGCCCTGGGGTGAGAGCTGAGCCCTCAGACTGTGGGGAGTAGAGCAGACCCCTGCTGGAGGAACGCCTTCCCCAAAACTGCGCAGGGGTCCAGGACCCAGGCAGAGGGCGGACTGCACTTCCCAGCCCCTGGGTGCCACTCCTGGATCCCCTCCAGCCCGAGGGCTTCAAAGAGCCCTGAGGAGGAGACACTGCCTGTCGGTGTCTGTCTGTCGGTACCAGAAAGGCAGCCTGTGGGCTTCTGGGGGAGCCACGTGGGTCTGGCACCCAGGATGGAGGAAACGAAGTGTGGGACTCAGCTTGGCTAGAACTAGAGGGAAGGAGACTGTCCTCCTGTAGCCGGGGCCACCATGACAACCCCATGGCCCCAGCCACGTGGCCATCCTGCGAGCAGAGCCCCAGACAGACCGCTGAGACGGGGAGAGCCCCCGGAATACGGAACTGTGCACAGGGACACGAGGAGGGATGTGGCGGCCAAAGCCGAGGTACATTCCGGTGGTCGTCCTTCCCACAGCAACCACCAGCCTAAAGCTGCAGGTTCTCTTTTTCTCGGATGTTCCTCTGGGTCCCGCCCCCCCCATCATCCACCTTGGGCACGTGACTCCGGCCAGCAGTCCCATCTTTGCCAAGCCGGCCAAGGGCGCTGCCAGGCCAATCCCCAAACGGGCACCCGAGTTACTGGGAAAAGCTTTCTTGCTGCTGCACTCGAGCAGACAGTAGACGGCATCCCATGAGGGCAACGGAAGGCTGGGAGGGTGAGGAGCTGCTGAAGCCACCTGAAGCCACTTCCCTGGGCTTCTTGGTCACATGTACCAATGTTTCATTTTTGGTTTAAGCCAAGTTTGTGCCAAATTTCTGCCTGTGTCAGGGTTCACTCCAAGAAGCAAGAGTCCTATGAGCGTGGCGAAAGATGAAATGGGTTACGACTCTACACAATTGTGGAAGGGAGCTAGGGAGAAGCTGGAGAATTGCGTGGGGGGGGGGGGCACTAAGCAGCCCTCCCCAGGCAGGAGGGCAGGTGCCGAGGGATGAGTTTACAGGGGAGCAGGGGAGCTGGGCAAGCCCAGCTCTGCAAGCAGAACCACAAGGTGGGGGGCGGAGGGAGAGGTCTGGGGAAGGCAGTGGCCCCTTCAGAGCTCGGCCACTGTGAGTTTCCCATAAGGGACGCTGGTGGTGGTGAGGGCCTCTGTCGGGAAGAGGGGGACACACTTGGGAGACGGCCCCTGTCCCTCCAACCCGACCCTTCTACATCTGTCTGTTTCTGCCCAGGATGGCCTTCACCGCTCCTCCTCCCCCATTCCAAAGTGAGTGCTCGGGAGTCCAGTCCTGCCCAGAGCTACCCCCAGAAGGGAATTCTGGGAATGCACAGCGACACCCCAAACCACCACACTTAACTTACCGAAAATCCTCACTTCACAAGTGTCACCTGAGTCACCAGGACCTTCCATGGGTTCCCACCTGGGCTACCCTCTTGAACACCCAGAGGTGGCAGGGGCTGGGAAGGCCCCAGAGGCCGGAGAGCTGTAAGCACAGCTGCCCCCTTGCCCTCCGTGTGGGGGCCCCAACAGCTGCTGCCCCTCCCCCCTAGCTGAGAGGTTTCCTGCCAGAGCCGCCTGGACTCAGGGACGAGAGATTCCTGTTCCCCAGTGACTGGTGCCGGGAATTCCACAGACGCTGGAGCTGAGGGCCTTGACCTACTCCGGCAGACCCGCAGGGAGTCTCCACCCCTCTCCCGCCCCAGCGCCTCCAGCAAGCCCTCCGCTGCAGCCCTGTCCGGAGAGCCGCAGTCTGTCCCACAGCCCTACCTGGCGTGGCTCACAGCCCACCTGGACTTGTCCCTTTGCCGGGACAATAAGGGTCCAGGCGGGAGGAGGAGGGCCCCTCTCAGCCAGGTGGGGGCCAGCAGGGCCAGCAACTCCCACGCCCCATTCCATCAGCCCCCGGCCCACAGCTGCCACCTACAATACCCTGTCACAAGCCTGCTCAGTCCCCCAGAACCACTTTCTGCAGACGCTCGCTTCTGTCTGCTGGCCACTCCGCCACCCCTGGCTTGGCAGGCTCTCTGGACGGGGGGCTCTCTGGGACTGTAGGACTCCCGCACGACACAAGCTCCCGGCTGCCCTGAGACCCAGGCGGGCGCCCAGGACAGCTCGTAAGGCCCGTGCCTGCTTGAGAGCGTCTCACTGCCTGTGTCTTCTTCTCCCGGGGCCGAGGAGACTCCCGCACCTCGCCCGCCTCCGTGGGAGAGCGCAGGGCAGGAATCGGACCGCCGTGGCCGGCCAGGCCTGCACAAGGACACCCGGGGCCGCAGCGGCTGCCGAACGGCGGTGGGAAGCCTCCTCCTGGCGGGACCCCACGTCGTCTCTGCGCCATCTGCGCCACCAGCGCCAGGGCCGGCGGGCGGGAGACCTGCCGTGGGTTCTGCTCCCCCGAGTCTCATCTCTCGTCGCGCCGCGGGGCCTTTGTGTAGCCGCCCCCCCCCCCGCGCGCCCCCGTCTGTGTCACTGCGGCCGAGAACACGCTCTCCGGACAGTGAGGACAGTGAGGCGGGCTCTGGCCGGACAGCTGGCCCCAGGGGCAGCGGGGTCCGCGGCGAGGGGCAGAGGCGGCGCCCGCGGACGGACAGCGGGGACGTGCCGCGGAGGCCTGGTTCGCCGCGGGCCGGGGGGACCGGACCCTACTCGCCGGCCGAGCGCTTCGCCGGACTCGGGGTGAGGGGACCCGGCAGGCTGGGCGGGGGCGGGGCGTCCGCGGAGGGCACTCGGCGGTCACGTGCGCCGGCGCGGAGGCCCAGACCGGGTCCGCACGCCGCAGTCCGGTCACCCGGTTCTGAACCTCTTAGTCCTTGCGAGCCGCGTCCCTACACGCCCGCGGGGAGCAGGAAGCCCGCGGCCCCGGGGCCGCCCCCGACCGCCGGGCCCGACAGCGACGCGGAGTCAAGAACGGTCCCCGCCGTCCTCCGGGCTTGGGGGCTCCAGCTGGGGGCGGGGTCCTCGAGGGCTCGGGGGCTCGGGGGGCCCGGAGCTCGGGGCTGAAGGGCTTGGGGCTCGAGGGCCCGGGGCTGGGGCTCGGTCAGGAACACGGTCCTCGCGCGGGCGCGGCACAACCGCGTCAGACGGCCGCACCCCACGCCGCACATGCGCAGCACCGGGCGCCCGGCCCGAGGGGCGGGGTGGGGCGGAGCCAACGTTCTGAGCCTAGCTTCGGTGGCCTCACTGCGCTCGCGCCGCTCCGCCCCCTCACGGGGTGACCAATGGGCTCGCTGTCCCCGCCCCTGACGACACGGGCCCCGCCCCCTGGAGACAGGTCGCGGTGGAGCGGAGACCGTCCGGGTTAGCGGGCTGGTTCAGGCTGGCGGGGCCGCGGTGTGGGTCCCCGGGCGCTCGGCCATGAAGCTGACTCGGAAGATGGTCCTGTCCCGCGCCAAGGCCTCGGAGCTGCACAGCGTGCGGAAGCTCAACTGCTGGTGAGGGCCCAGAGGCCGGGGCGGTCCCCGCGCGTCCTGCCCGCGGCCCGGGACCCGCGGCTGGGCTCTGGGCCGCGGGCGGGACGGGCCGGCGAGGAGCCGCAGGGCGGTCGGGGTGGAAGGACGCGGGTGCCGGGGCCGCTCCGCCTGCGGGAGGTGCTGCCGCAAACCGGGGCCGCGGCCGAGGTCGACCCGGAGCTTGCACCCCCCGACTCCCGGGCTGTGGCGGCGGACGTGCTCTGCCTGCCCGGGGCGTCTGGGATCGCCCGAAGGCTCCTCGCCGGCCTTTGGACAGCGCCAGTGGGGCCCACCGTGCCTTCGGGAGGCCGTTTTCTGACATCCGCGCGCGGGAGCTGGGTCCCCTGCCGGTGGGGGATGCAGGGGTGAGCCCCTCCCTCGCGGGGAAGGTGGCGACACCCGGCCACCGAGTCCTTAGTCCCCGGTGCCTTGCTGTCTGGGAGGGGCGGGACGGGATGCAGGAGCTGGGGTCAGTGCA